AAAAAAAAAAAAAGATAGCCAGGTGTTGTGGCAGGTGCCTGTGTTCCAGCTACTTGGGAGGCTGAGGCAAAAGGATGATTTGAGCCCAAGAGTTTAAGGTTGCTGTGAGCTATGATGCCATGACACTCTACCAATGTCTAAGTAAAACTCTGTCTCAAAACAAATGCTGAACAAAAGGAAGACCACGTTTTCACTAACAGAAAAACAGCGGCTCAGTCATAGCTCAGTGCTTAGGGCGCCAGCAACATACACAAGGACTGGTGGGTTGGAACTTGACCTGGGGTCTGCTAAAAACAACAACAACAACAAAAAATAGTTGGGCATTGTGGCAAGTGCCTAGCTACTTGGGAGGCTGAGGCAAAAGAATCACTTAAGCCTAAGAGTTTGAGGTTGCTATGACACCACAGCACTTTACTGAGGGCAACATAATGAGACTGTCTCAAAAAAACAAAAGGGGCGGTGCCTGTGGCTCAGTGGGTAGGGCGCCGGCCCCTTATATACCGAGCGTAGCAAGTTTAAACCCAGCCCCAGCCAAACTGCAACAAAAAAATAGCCAGGCGTTGCAGCGAGTGCCTGTAGTCCCAGCTACTCGGGAGGCTCAAGCAAGAGAATCACCTGGGCCCAGGAGTTGGAGGTTGCTGTAAGCAATGTGACAACATGGCACTCTACTGAGGGCAATAAAGTGAGACTCGGTCTCTACAAAAATAAAATAAAATAAAATAAATAGAAAAACTGAGGCAAGAGGATCACTTCAGCCTAAGAGTTGGAGGTTGCTTTGAGCTATGACACTACGGCATTTTAACCAGGGTGACAGCTTGAGAATCTGTCTAAAAAAAAACAAACACTGGGCTCGGCACCTGTTGCTCAAGTGTCTAAGGCGCCAGCCCCATACACCCAAGGTGGCGGGTTTGAATCCAGCCCAGGCTTGCCAAACAACAATGACGGCTGCAACCAAAAAATAGCCAGGCATTGTGGCAGGCGCCTGTGATCCCAGCTACTTGGGAGGCAGAGGCAAAAGACTCGCTTGAGCCCAGGAGTTGGAGGTTGCTGTGAGCTGTGATGCTACGGCACTCTACCCAGGGCGACAGCTTGAGGCTCTGTCTCAAAAAAAAATAAATAAATAAACAAAACACTGCAGCGGACGCCTGTAGTCCCAGCTACTCAGGAGGCTGAGGCAAGAGAATAGCCTAAGCCCAAGAGCTGGAGGTTGCTGTGAGCTGTAATGTCATAGCACTCAGTACTGAGGGTGGCAAAGTGAGACTCTGTCTCTAAAAATAATAAAATAAAACAAACAAACAAACTGCGGCGCCTGTGGCTCAGTGAGTAGGGTACCAGCCCCATATACTAAGGGTGGCAGATTCGAACCTGGCCTTGGCCAAACTGCAACAACAACAAAAAAATAGCCGGGCATTGTGGCAGGCGCCTGTAGTCCTAGCTACTCAGGAAGCTGAGGCAAGAGAATTGCCTAAGCCCAAGAGCTGGAGGTTTCTGTGAGCTGCCACGGCACTCTATCAAGGGTGACAAAGTAAGACTCTGTCTCAAAAACAAACAAAAACAAAAAAATCCTGAAACCTCTTGTGATATGGTTCCCAACTTGATAATCCAAAATAATCTCCCCATCTCCAGGTCACAGGACAGGGTATGAGATTTTTTTCACCCTCAGTTGAGTGTCATGGAGTCATAGCTCACAGCAACCTCAAATTCTTGGGCTCAAGCAATTCTCTTGCCACAGCCTTCCAAGTAGCTGGGACTACAGGCACCCGCCATGATATCTGGCTAGTTTTAGAGACGAGGTCTCACCCTGGCTCAGACAGGTCTTGAACCCGTGAGCTCAGGCAGCCAATCCATTGCCTTGGCCTCCCAGAGTGCTAGGATTACAGGTGTGAGCCATCTTGCCCAGCCCGGGATTTTTAAATTCTTTCCTTTTTTTTTTAGAGACAGAGTCTCACTTTATCACCCTTGGTAGAGTGCTGTGGCATCACAGCTCACAGCAACCTCCAACTCCTGGGCTTAGGCAATTGTCTTGCCTCAGCCTCCCAAGTAACTGGGACT